ATCTCTACCACAACTGTAATCCACAGCAAATGGAATTCCCTGGCCCTGGGGACAAAGGCCCGGTGTTTGCTAAACCCGGCGGCTCCTGGGAGGACAGGGGCCCCAGCCTTTCTCCAGCTGCTGGTCTCGGGCCCAGTGGGCAGCAGGGACTTGTAATAAGATCGGGGTCAGCCCCTCAGTCAGCGTGGTCCCTTGCGGTTGGGAGCGGAGGACGGCCTGAACAGGAATCCCCGCCCTTCAGAGCTTGGGCTCACACAAAACCACACAGTGACTTGGAACCCAGACAAGGGCAGACTTCCAGGCCTGGAAGTTAGCCATTAAGGAGATTTGGCCGGGTGCTTCGGGAGTCCTGGATGGGTGACCTGGGGGTCCGAGTTTGAAGGAAGGGAAGGAAGGCATAGAGTAGGGGAGGGATTGAAAGGAAGCTGGGTGGAGGTGGATTGGAGGTTTAGAGCCTAGACACTGTGCAAGTCTAAAGGGTCAGACTTCCTAACGGGCCTGAGGGAAGGGCACCAGGAGAGGCCACAGATACCCTGGTAGCCCTGGCTGCGACTCCCACGTTCCCCCTTACTTCTCGACAGCCGGAGCAACTAGGTAGAAGGAAGCGGGAGTGGGGGATAGGAGAGCTTTGGGTCAAAGAGGGGAGCTACAGAGGAAAAGGTCCGAGAGGCCCTCTGTCAGTCCACGCTTCCTGATTGTGTTTCTAACTCAAGTTCCCTTTCCTAGGAGACCGATGAGGGTGGGACCCAGCCAGGCCCTGGCTTCCCATTTCTCCTCCAGCCCTCTGGTTGAGGAAGTTCCCCACCGGGAGACCAGTAGGCCCTCTGGGTTGCCTCCATGGTACGGAGGAGAGTCAGAGGGGCCGTGACACTGTGAGTGAGTCACTCCACCAAATCTGTGCCTCAAGTTTTGCATAGGAAAATGAGGAAGATTATGGTAATGTTGGATTTTTAAAGCTGGTTGATAAGTACACATGCATACTGTCTTTTATGTAGACATATATCAAGAGGTTCTTTTATTATTTTTTTAATGAGAAGCCCCCCCACAGGGGGGACGATCATGACCAAGTCCCTTCTCTCAGGATTGTGGGCACACATGCACATGCATCCACCATGAGTTTCAAGCCATGTGGGAGTCCAGTGCCTTAACACCATGCCACCTGCTGGCCCCATGACGAGGTTATTTATTAAGTATAAAACACTTAATGGACATTCGTAATTAGAGGATTAAAGGCAGTGGTCTCAGTTCCTTCCCAACCGTCTAGTGTGCTTTGACACGGACTCTGCCCAAGGCCCCCGAAGTAATGGCTCAGGGGGAGCGTGAGAAATGCTGAGAGGGTAGGGGCAGAGCCCTGGTCTGGGAGTCAGACCTGGTTTTGAATCCCAGCTCTAGGGTGACCTTAGGGAAGTGACTTTGTCAAGTTTCTCATCGACAGAAGTGGATAATTACACCTGCCACAGAAGGGATCTTGAGCCTGTGTAAAGACAGTGCTTGAGGGACCAGAAGTTGGTGTAATGGCTGTGTTGCTGGGCTCCCATGTAGTCGACTGCGGTTTGAGTCCCAGACCTGGTGGCTTAAACTCACGCTGGGTGAGTGTGTGTGCGTGCCCAAGATCCTGAGAGGAGAATGGAGGAGAAGGGATTGCGGCGTGGCCATCCCCCCTGGAGGGTGATTTCTCGCTGTCTCTCTCTTTCTGGCAAGCGCATGCGCCCTATAGCAAAAACCTCTCAAAAAATAAATAAATAAATAAAAAGACAGCTTGACACGAAGCAGGTCGTGGTAGTAGCCGAGATTACTCGTATAGACCCTGTCGACGGCGAGCACAGAAGGAAAGCTAGGTGGTTTAACCAGTCGATGGCGGGCACAGAAGGAAAGCTAGGCGGTTTAAACAGTCGCAGGAGGGGACAGAAGGAAAGCTAGGTGGTTTAACCAGTCGACGGCGAGCACAGAAGGAAAGCTATGTGGTTTAACCAGTCGACGGCGAGCACAGAAGGAAAGCTAGGTGGTTTAACCAGTCGACGGCGGGCACAGAAGGAAAGCTAGGTGGTTTAACCAGTCGATGGAGAGCACAGAAGTAAAGCTAGGTGGTTTAACCAGTCGACGGCGAGCACAGAAGGAAAGCTAGGTGGTTTAACCAGCCGATGGCGGGCACAGAAGGAAAGCTAGGTGGTTTAACCAGTCGATGGAGGGCACAGAAGGAAAGCTAGGTGGTTTAACCAGTCGATGGAGGGCACAGAAGGAAAGCTAGGTGGTTTAACCAGTTGATGGAGGGCACAGAAGGAAAGCTGGGTGGTTTAAGTCTGACACTAGCTGGGGGGAATTGTGCAGATGAAGTGGGACATGCCAGGCACATGCACACACACCGGTGCATGTTATTCAGCTGTAATAAAAGGAATGAGATTCTGATACATGCTGCAACATGTATGACTCCGGAAAATATTGTGCTAAGGGAAATGAAGCAGACGCGACAGCTGTCACATGGTCCCACCTGCTGAGATGTGAGAACAGGCACATCGGTAGAGACGGAAGGCAGGGGAGAGGCTGCCTGGGCAGGCCAGGCGGGCAAGGGGACTGACTGCTTCATGGTTACAGTTTGGGGTGATGAGAAGGTTCTGGGAAAGGTAGTGAGGATGGACGCACAGCATTGTGGGTGCAGGCCATGCCACTGCAGTGCTCACTAAGTGGGCACTGATCTGGTCGGAACCTGTCCTTCCCTCCTGTCGCCTGAGTAAGTGGGAGGGGAAGGGCACGCTGGAAACACAGCTAGTTACCAGAGGGCACCTGTGGGCTGGGAGGGGGCACGCGCCCATGGAAGGCTGAAGGGGGTGCTGTCAGGCCTGGGGCCAGAGACTCTCATGTAGGGGTGACAGAGAGAGGAGAGGGAGAGCTGCTGGGGCCTGCTTAGAGCAAGCCCAGGCAGAGGGAGCGGGCAGAGGGTACAGAGGGGACACGGAGAGAGTAGAGGCATGGAGAAAGAGAAGGACCTGCCGACCTGCTGGGCAGTGTCAGCCACGGGGGGTGGGGGGCCCGTGCCCGTGTTCAGAAGAGCCCAGGGTGTGTAGGCCTCTGAGCACACCAGGGCTGGGCCTGGCAGGGAGCAGCTGTAGGAGGTCAGTGGTGAGAGAGCTGGTGAGCGTGAGTCCAGATGTGTGTTGGGGGGGGCGGGGATGGGGCAGGAGGGGCAGAGTCTAGTGAGACAGAAAAGGCCAAGTGGAGAAGGGGGTGGGAAGCCAAGGATGGAGTGGAGGGAGGAGCCCCAAGGGGGTGGTCAGGGGCCTTCAGGAAGGTCCAAGCGCTGTGTGCCCGTGGCTGAGGTGGGTCTCGCCCTGCGGGGAGCAGCGGCTGTCCTCGCCTGAGCAGATTTTCTATAAAGGAACGTCATGCTCTCTGTAGACTCCTGTCGTGTGTCGTTTCTCAGCAAGAGCCGAGCATTTACTGTCCACATGTGCTCCCGTGGCTGCGAAAGGCTCACATGTAGGGCCGAGGCTTGTTCATCAGGATCTGAAACCCTTACATCTCGGTCCGCTCTGGTACTGCCGTCTTTCCACATACGTGTGCACGCGCTCTCAGGCACATGCGCTCGCTGGAGAGAGACGCAGGGACAGAGAGGGAAAGTGAAAAGCACCTGTGGGGGTGGCCACGCCACAATGCCATCTCCTCCTCTAGGGTTTTTGGGCATTCACACACCCAGCATGTTTTCAAACTGTCAGGTCCAGGACTCGAACTGCACGGTCGGCCATGTGGGATCCAGCCCCTTCACCTCCGTGCCACCCGCTGGTCCACGTTCTCATTTTGTAAGTGCCTCAGTTGAGATTTCCTAGCGTGGAGTGAAAAGCAAGACCCAAAAGCCCTTTCTGACCTGTATTTGCGGAAGGAAGTGAGGCCTGCACGGAGCACTCGGCTTCCGGGGTCCTCTGGCTGTCGCCGGCTCAGCTGTCGCCCGTACCCTTAACACCCGAGCCCCATCTCCACAGCCCGTTGGAGACCAGGGATCACTCCCTCTCCTGCCTCCTCCCCACGCCCGCCTTCCCCGTCCATGAGCAGGACACAGGGAGCGCCTGTCGGCCCGGCTGTTCTGGTAACTCTGCTGTAACCACGAGGCCCAGACTGAGGACGCTGGGGACAAGGGGAGCTTGTCACCACAGGCCAGAGACTCACTCAGGAGCAGAATGTCAGGCAAGTGGGTCTTGCCAAGGCTTCCCAGCTAGAAAAGTGGTAGAGCCAGGACTCAAACCCAAGTCTTTCTGAGTTCCAAACTGAAATTGTAGCCAGAGTGCTCGGTGTCGTGCCCGCTCTGCGTTAGGCTCAGAGAGCACCCAGGAGCAAACTAGTAGAGTAACCGAGGCTTCGATAACCAAGCAAAACAAGATAAACTTTTCTCTTATTGCCCCCTTGTGTTCCTCTTTCTCTCATCCCATCCTCTGTCAAGTTTTTTTTTTTAACTTCATTTATTATTATTATTTTTTAATTATTATTTCTCTCCAGAGAGAAAGAGGGGGAGAGAGGGAAAGTGAGAAAGCAAGCCTCCAGGTCCAGGACTTGAACTGTAGTTGGCCATGTGGGAGTCCAGCACCTTAACCACCACACCACCTGCCAGCCACCCCCCATCCCCACCTCCCATCAAGTCTTAACCCTACTTCTTTCACTAGCTGGTTGGAGACACATGTAGAAATAGTAAGTTCTCTGATGTCCGGGCTCCCCATCCTGAAGATGGGCACTGGCGGTGAGGAGGTGACCCCCGGCCCGCTGCTGGAAGGACCTCCTGATACCCACACCTTCACTTCTCTTCCTCCCTGGCGGAACGAACAGGTCACAGGCTTCGGGACCAGGAAGGGCTGGTTTCAGATCGCACCTGCCGCATGGAGCTGGCCCTGTCCTGTTGGCAACTGTCGAGACCTCGGTTTCCAGGTAGCCCTACCACAGGCTGCTTGGACAGCCCAGCTGCCGGGAGCTTTCTCCAGGAAAAATGATACATTTCCACCCTGCCTCTCCCCTCCTAGCCTCTGCCTGCTGTTCTGCCATCTGAGCACGACCGTGCCACCCTCCAGGCCATGGAGAATGAGCTGCCAGCCCCACCCACATCCAGCGGTGCCAGCGTCAGCAGCGGTCCCAACAGGGGCGGCGGCAGCGGCTGCAGCAGCAGCAGCGGTGGAGGTGGCCGGCCCGCTGGGCCCCAGATTTCCGTGTACAGTGGCATTCCCGACCGGCAGACCGTGCAGGTAAGACCAGTGTGCTCAGGGCGTGGTCATGGGTCATCTGAGAGCTGGCAAGAGGTGTCGGCAGGGTGTGCGGAGCAACCTGGGTGCTGATTCTGGGCAGGGTAGTTGGAGGAGTGCAGCACCACATGCGGGGGAGGGAGTCTGGGCAAGGAGCAAACTCGGGGATCAGGAGAGCTCCTTCTGAGCTGAGGCTCAGATCGCAGAGTGGGAACCGCGATGGGTGTGCGAGAGTGTGAAGTCCAGATAAGTGACAATGACAGACAGAAAGTGCCTAGGGACTGCCGATCCATGGCCCAGACCCAGCCGAGATGGCTACTGCCCTGTGAGGAGCAAGCCTGGGCTTCTCAGAGACAGACTGTAAAAGACCTGAGCGGTCCCCTGTCCCTGCAGCTCTGGCTGTCCTCCCCAAAGCAGCCCGTGGCTGCCAGGTGACCACACACTGCTCCGAACTGCACTCACAACCACGGACCGCCCCTGCCATGTGCCCTTCAAGGTGCCACTGCGTAGTTACCTACCTCCCTCTCCAGCTGTAGTCACGGGCTGGAGAGATGTGGTCATTGCGGCCCCAGTCTGCAGTGGGGAAGACTGAGGCTCAGGAGAGGCAGTAGCTTGTCCATGGTCATTTGGGTAAAGACAAGAAAATGTGAACCTAATTTACCCCAGCTCTGTGTTCCTAATAACGGCAATGTCTATTTGGGGTCCCTGGATGATACAGGCCAGAAAGAGAAGCTGCAGCAGAGAAGTATCCCCTCTCAGTAACTTTAGTTTGGAAATTCTGAAGAACTGGCCCCTTCCTGCTTTGGCCCGAGGCCCAGAGAAGGGAATGGGGGAGAAGGCATGGTAGGCCACGAGGGGGGCTGGGAAACCTAGTTAAAAAGACACCGTCAGATACCCTGGGCTCTTCCTCTCTACTCAGCCCCTCTAACCCCCTCTCCACCACCTACTAGTAAGACCACATGTCCTGCTTCCACCTCTGTCCCCCATTCCTCCCACAGCCCCATGCCTGAATACCTTAGCCCTAGTTTTCAGCAGCTGACAGCAGGGTATGCCCACCTCCTGCCACTCATCACAGCTCTCGGCCAAAGGGATTTAGGGTTCTGCTCTGGCCAGTGGGAAAACCCAAGGTTGCCCCCACCCCCGTACCAAAGCAGACCATGAGGGGCTCCTGCTGTTCCCATTCTGTGACGTCCCTGAATGAGGGAGTCACAGTCCAGGGTGACTGCTGGCTGGGCACTGGGACATCACTTCCAGGAGTCTACAGAAGCCAGAAGGGCCTCAGGAAAGGGACTAGAGCGAACAGTTCTGGAGGAAAGCAGGAGACAGGAAGAGTTCATGGAGTTCATGTAAAAGAGCCATGAGGGGCTCCTGCTGTTCCCATTCTGTGACGTCCCTGAATGAGGGAGTCACAGTCCAGGGTGACTGCTGGCTGGGCACTGGGACATCACTTCCAGGAGTCTACAAAAGCCAGAAGGGCCTCAGGAAAGGGACTAGAGCGAACAGTTCTGGAGGAAAGCAGGAGACAGGAAGAGTTCATGGAGTTCATGTAAAACAGGGTCCTAGGGACCAGTAGATGGCATAATGGTTACATTGCTGGACTCCCACGTGGTTGACCATAGTTTGAGTCCCAGACCCAGCGACTTAAAATTCACTCCAAGCACATGTGCGTGCATGCCCGAAATCCTGAGAGGAGAATAGAGGAGAAAGGATTGCGGCGTGGCATCCCCCCGGGGGTGGGGGTGATTTCTTGCTTTCTGTCTCTCTGTGTCTCTCAGGAGAGCACACGTACCCTACAGCAGAAATCTCTCTAAATAAATAAACATAAAACAGGGTGGCAGAGGGGGAGTGCCCTGAAGGAGTGGGATCTCGGGAAAGCACGGGGTGGGAGTGTCTGTGTCTGTGTGTCTGTGTGTCTGTGTGTGTGTGTGTCTGTGTGTCTGTGTGTGTGTGTCTCTGTGTGTCTGTGTCTGTCTGTCTGTGAGTCTGTGTGTCTGTGTGTGTCTGTGTATGTGTCTGTGTGTCTGTGTCTGTCTGTCTGTGAGTCTGTGTGTGTTTGTGTGTGTGTGTGTGTGTGTGTCTGTGTGTGTGTGTCGGGGGCATCAGAGCCCACAGAGCATCTGGTAGCAGCCTGCTCCCACACAGCCCCACGTCCGAGCTGGCGGCGGCCGTCCTGCTGAGTGGGTAGGGCGGTGGTGTGCGTCTCCTCCTGGGCTGCCGTGGGAGAGGTGAGGAGCTCTGCAGACAGCGGCCCCACCGCAGAGCGTGCGTTGGCTCTCGAGGCCACCCGGTGTGCTCAGGCAGCGGGGAGAGCGGGGAGAAAGGGGCTCCGGCAGGCCCTGAAGCTGTCCGCCCTCCGCAGGTGATCCAGCAGGCGCTGCACCGGCCCAGCACGGCGGCACAGTACCTGCAGCAGATGTACGCCGCGCAGCAGCAGCACCTCATGCTGCAGACAGCCGCCCTGCAGCAGCAGCACCTGGGCAGCACCCAGCTCCAGAGCCTGGCCGCTGTGCAGCAGGTGCGTCTCGGGGTGGCCGGGGGCACCCGTGCCAGCCATGGGGAAGCGGGTGTCGCACAGAGTCTCACGGGTCCTCACAGAGTCCCTGTGGAACAGGCTGTTGTCATCCCCTCCCTCTGACAGGTGAGGGACAGAGCCCCAGAGCCCCCGCAGTGGAGAAGTGCTGCCTCAGGCGGAGACCCCCTTTGTTAAGCATCTCCCGCTGCTGGGGGAAGGGGTCGTGGCTTTGAGGGGGCCTTCTCAGGAGGACTGCCCTGCCGGGGAGCTGTCTGTCGGGAGTGCCCCTGTCCCCTAGCGCCACACACACATTCATTTGTTCACTCATCAGATGTGTTAGGCACCTTCTGCTCGTGCTTGGCGCTGCAGGTGTGTGGCCCCGGTCTTCCTGGAGCTCAGAATGGGGAGGCAGTGAGAAAACAGGAGCCAGAATAGACAGGGAAACAAAGACATCGATACCTAAGTGGGAAAAACATATGGCGGGGAGCAGGATGACAGATGGGGACTTGACCTTCCACAGTCAGGGCTGGCCTGTCTGCTGGCCACCTTGGAGCTGGCACCTGAAGGATGAGAAGCTGGCTGGAAGTGGGTGGGCTGGACACCCACAGGGTGCAGACTCTCCGCACAGTGCCAGCTGTGGCAGGGGGCATTGCAGAGCGAGGGCCGAGGACAGCGGGACATGGAGCCATGGAGCAGTCGCAGCCCATGTTGGAGTGCTCATGCTCACGGCCGGCTTCTCTCGGCCACTCCCCTGCACTGCCCTCGCGAGCTACAGAGGAGTAGGGAGTGCTGGCTGGAGGTCGGGCAGGCTGTCCTTCCCTCTGCCCTGCGGCGCTTCCTTGGGCAAATGCCCAGGACTGCAGTGACAGGGTTGCTCTCTTCCAGGCCAGCCTGGTGGCCAGCAGGCCAGGGAGTGCCGCGAGCAGCAGCGTGTCCGCACAGGCCCCCGCCCAGCCGTCCTCGGTGAGTAGGGGCAGCAGGCGTAGTCCACCGTCCTGCCTACAGTGCTCTGAGCTCCCAGGCCAGTGTGCCGATCCTTAGCCACATAGAGCCGTGCTAACTTGTTCATGCTAACTCACGCGACTCTTGCTCTGGCCGGGGAAAAAAGAAAAGTGCATTCGTCTCTCTGGCCCTTAAATGACTATTCCCGGCCACCTCCGCAGTCCCCAGGCTGTGTGGGAGCTCAGTCCTCGCCACAGTGGCTCTTCCTGCCGCTCTGCACCTGAGCACAGTCCGGGATGCACGAAGGCCAGAGGGCCAGAGGAGGTCCCAGAGAAGACTAACAACCAAGGAGCAGGGGAGGGGAGCAGTGGACGAGGGCCCCCTCACCTCCGAGCCTCCTGTGTCCTACTGTGCGTCATGTTTCTCTCGTCAGATCAATCTGGCAGCCTCCCCCGCAGCAGCCCAGCTCATCAACCGGGCTCAGAGTGTGAACTCAGCCGCAGCCTCGGGCATCGCCCAGCAGGCCGTGCTCCTGGGCAACGCGTCTTCTCCAGCCCTGACCGCCAGCCAGGCACAGATGTACCTGAGGGCACAGATGGTGAGCACTGCAGCCCAGGCCCTGGGCAGAGGCTGGGGAACAAGTCCTAGGGGACACAGGGCATGCGATAAGTGGTGGGCCAAAGGAGGGTGGGCCTGGGGCTCAGCGGCTCGAGGGTGTGCTGTAGGCTGAAACAGAGTCACCGCGAGGCCGCCTGCCTTCTCCTCCTGGAGTGAAACGGAACTGTGCCCTTCTCAGACACTGCACAAAATCACCGAGGGCGGACTACGAGGGTCTGTGCCCAGGTGGCCCTGGACACTCAGGCATGGTAGAAGCAGGCTCACAGGCATCCAGGCTCCAACAGGCAGTTGCAAGACTGCTGTGTCCAGCTCCAGCGCCCATTCTGGCCAGAATCAGGGGAGCCCCTTTGAGCAGAAAGCACCCAGGCTGGCACCTAGACGTGCACACCTAACCTCTTCTCTGCACCTGAAGGGGTGCAGAGGTCCTTAGGGACCTAACAGGTTCCTGAGATTTAGAAGGGCCTTCTGGGAACACAGCAGCCTCCTCCCCGGGAGGCAATGACGGTAGCTCCAGGTCGGGCCAGACCACTGTCAGGCATACCTCGGACCCCTGCTCTGAGATTTCTCCCTTCAGTCCCTTCACACGCCATCCTGAAGACAATACAGGAGGACTTCAAAAAGTTTGTGGAAAATGGAATTGAAGTATTAATTTATTTTGGTGCAAAAAATTCTGAAATTCATATGTAGCTTTTCCATAATACATGTTCTCCACCACCCCCAGCCAAGACATGCGCACACGCTTACATCCCTTGCCCTCCT